ATATTAAATGATAAATTAATCAGCAGGCGCTCAGGTGTTGGTTCAGTAAAGGAAATGATAATCAGAGATCCACTGGGGCAAACAGAAATAACAAGCTCTAAATAAACCTGAAAACATTGCATGCATGTGTGTGCATAATCTAATAACTAAAACATCTAAATTATTCTCAGGACCAAAAAAATGTCTGCTTCTTACCAAAACTTCCAGTACATTGCTTCCCAGATCCAGCTGTTCCAGTTTAACCAGGAAGGAAAGAGAGCTAGAGGATGATCGAGACAGATTTCACATTTAATGTTATTTGCATCCATGTTTTAGGGTGAACACTGTGGATTTAATAACTGCAGTTTGATGGGAAAATACTCACGAGGGCAAAGATTTCAGTAGATTCTCCCTCAGCTCTAGAGTCACCAGGTTTGACAAGCTGAGAGGAGAAAAAAAGGAAAAGAGCCAAGACTGAGTGTCAGATGGTGAGTGTGTTGCTCAGTTTGGAAGAGTAAGGGGCTCCCCCATCTGCACAACATCAACAGTGGCCAAAGTCAATGTGTGTGTTTGAAATGGAAAGAGACAGTGTGTGTGTCTGTATGTGAATGGGATGCCTGCTTTGTGTGCTAATTACAAAAGTGATGATGAAAATGATAAAAAGACATTTAGATATTCTAAAATAATATGCACAGGTATTCCCCTTTGATTTTATCCATAACTTTGATTACATGTTTCATAAAATTAAGGGTTGCTTTTTGAGGTTATACTACATTAACACGCATATAGTATCATATAAATTACTGATATAACAGACACATATTATGATGCTTGCTTTTTATATCTATAATTTTAAACTCAACTTGAAATAAATATTAACCCTGCCTATTTTCTGAAAGCACGTTACAGACTTTATTGTGAATGACTCATCCATGCATAGGTTCATCAAAAGTTTGACCTCGTAATGTTTAATCAAACTGTCGAAAATGAAAACGATGGAATTCTCTTGGACTCTTGGACAACCGATAGACTAAACAAAGTCACCGTCCTTCAGTTTTTTCTTTTTGATAATCTTTTACACTCGCGTGTACATCACAATACAGAAGAGAAGACCTGTCGCTACATCCATTTCATTGTGACTAAATGAAAACGTGTAAAAATCATTACATTTTTACATAATACATTTTCTTGTGCGAGGGACAAATTTTTTTTTTACACATATTTTTATTAAAAAAACTAATAATAAAAAAAAAAACCTGGAATAGAACGTGTTCATATAGACTTACTTTCCAATGTCATTGGGTAGAGACTGCAGCGACACGTCATTGAGTGATAGGTGAGCCAGTCCTCTGAGCTGTGTGAAGCCATCAGGCAACCTGAGACCGACAGTGACAAAAGGAAAATGAGACGCACAATGGAAAAGGTACTGACTGCCTTTTCCATTGTACTGACTGCACTGCACTGACAGACCCAAACAAAGGGTCTGGTACATTCTCACCTGCTATAAAAATAACATTACAGCATTTTAACAGAACATATAATCATTTGTAAACCCTTTTTAGTGTCAGTCTTTCTTCTCCCTTCCCAACCTTTCTACACCTTTCATAATCAAGAAAGTGTCATTTAGTATGAGGCAGAGCTTTGGGTGGATTTGGGGGTTCTTCCAACACACTAACCTGGACAAGGGGTTTCCGCTGAAGTCTGCCATCTCCAAGGCCTGACAGAATTTAATGTTTTCGGGAATCTCAGAA